CAGTGCATAATCTTTCCTATTTACTATCAAATTATGTGTGCTTATAGATCTGCTCACAATGTAAATTGGTAGTTTTGCTATTTACTTATGTTGTGCTAGATCGCATAGGGAACAAAAGAAGAGAGAAACTAAGAACATACTTGGGCAATAATGGTGGAAGATTCTCCAGCGTAAATGTCATAAGAGCTACCTGACCAACTCCCTCGACCCTGAAATCACATATTTCCTTGGCTACATTATTGGCCTTGAACACTTGCAGTTTGGTGTTGAGCTGGATAACAGCAGATGTTCTAGCACTCAAGATCAAGTCATTGGGTTTGAAGTGCAATCTCCTCTGTACACTTCCCATCTGCTGTGTGTTGTCATTATCTACCCAAACAATATTTATATTTGCTTTAATCAAATAAACATATATGGTTTAAATTTCAGCAAGAAAAATCAACAAAAAGTCAAAGTTAATTACGAAAATAGAAAACCTTGCGCCGGAGAGTGACGACGTGGTGTCCGGCATCAGAACTCTCTGATCATGGAGTCTGAGCAGCTTCCTTTTCACTTTGAACGGCAAGTTGCCTTGTCCATCCGTCACCATGAATTCAATTTTAATTTTTGCTGTCTCTTTTCTATTAAAAATTGAGGTTTGGAAATTTGGAAAGGCCTTATAAGCCCTTGTTGTCTCTCTCTTGTGTTAATTTATGCAACATTGATGTTATCAATTGAGAGAAATTGTACAATAATATGATGCATTTTCAACCCTTTTTTTAACCTATTTCATTTTGTCTGTCTTCGTTAAATCTTTTCACACTGAAAAATGAAATATAAAATTACAATAACATTTATACGACACTTTAAAATGTTCAATAAAAAAAGAAAAGTTCTTTTCCTTGTATTATTTATTTTCTTCTTCTCTTCGAAAGTTTAACATCTACACACTACATAAGATTCTAAGAATGTAAATGTATAACTTAACATGCAGGATTTGTCTATTTATAAATATGCATACAGCACATAAACTTGTTCCTCGCTAATTATACTAATCTGGCACTGCAAGATTCAGAAAAAATTTATAATTCCCCAACTTATTATCCTAGAGAATTTCAAAGCGTAGGTGCACCCAAAAGCTGGCGAATAAATTAAAGCCAAAACGGGAACAAATTCTGCTTCTTTGTGGAGGAGGGAGGGGGGGAAGCACTAGATCTTAAAAAATTTATTTACTTACTTTTTTCAGAAATTTCAAATGTATTAAGTACTACATCTTAAAATATCCAATACTGAGAGAACAAAGGGTTTCTTACAAATCTAAATTGTAAAATAAGGAAGCATGTTGCGGGTTTTCATTTGTGATTATAAATTAAATTATACGGAAATATAGAATGAACAGGCACGTTTCCCTATAGAGAGGTAGGAAGAGTATGTCAACAAACCCTAGAGAGAGAACGAGCCGAGAGCTCCTTAAAAAAGCCAAAGGAAAGGGAGGAGATAAAAATAAAAAAATGAAAAAAAAGAAAAGAAAGAGGAGAGAGAACAGCAAAAGCTAAGGAAAGGAACTTACCCAGCTCAATTGAATTCATCACGGTTGATTTTGCAACAAGAGAAAGGGATTGATCAGAATTTTTTGGATTGTAAGCTTGTTGGATGTTTGATTTGACTGATTTTGGGTCATTGCAGCACTCATGTAAAGCTACTAATGATATATATATATATATCTATAGAGAGAGAGAAAGAGGTGAACAATATAGCGACAGTAAAAAGGACAGAAACCAGATGGAACCGGTCAGAGAGAGATATTGGCTTTTTCCGTGCATGTGGCTACTCCCCTTGCAGTACGGTCCTCTGAAATTCCACTGACTACTCTTTTTTCATCACTTGACCAAGCTTTATCTGCAGCGGAAATTTTTCTGCCGATGGGTTTTTATGGTCACGAAATTTTTCAACGGAATAGCTATTTTTTTAATGATACTGTATTTGTCAAAAAAAAATTTCTGAGAAAGGATATTTCGATGAAAATTAAGTTATTTTTGACAAAAATTGTCCATAAAAATTTTATTATTTTCTTGTAGTGAAATGGAGTTGGCATTTTCTCACCCCATTTTTAAATTGACATCAATATTTTTTTTTTTGTTAACTTTCTTAAGTATCAATAAATCTTCATGGTTGGTTAAAATCTATTAAAATAAGAGTAAATGTACCGATATGAGGTGTAGAAAACATTTGGGGTTGAAAATTTTTAAATATTGTGTATCAATATATATGAATTTTTTACAAGACTTGTTAATAAATTTTTTACAACAATTGGATATAGATCTTTTAATATATGAATTTCTTCTAACAAAATCGACTTGGAACTAAATCGAACCGGAACGAACCAAAATTGCAGATGAATCGAAAACAAAACTATGAACCAGTCTAGATCAAAATTATGAACCAGCCCGGACTGGAATCAAAATGGTGACAAACTGAAATCATGATGAAACGAAATTGGAACTATACCAGCTTTCAAGATTCTGGTATTGATTCATATCTTTCTAAGATTAGAACTGGGGGTTTGATTCGATCCAGGTTGATTCACGAACCGTAAACAGGCTTAGACTACACCCATTGTTAAAGATGGACTAGGGACAGCGAAAAGAATTGGCGGAAACACTCACTGGGAAGATCTGCTTTCTCCTCGTTCTCCTTCTATGTTGACGTTTGTGTTGGCTCTGTTCGTTAGTGTTTCAACAAGAAGTTTGCGTGGATTGGAAACTCACGCTTCTCCCCCCTGCTTTGCCCTCTTCTAGTTCATTGGGGTATATGTGAGCTATGTGTGTCAGCGTTTTTGGCTAGAATTTTGCATCAACTGGATGTCAAGCGAACAATGGAGGTGCAATCGTGAACAATGGAGGTTGTAGATTGCTCTATGAATCCAATGTACTGCGTTTGCAAGTTGAGCTTTCAAGATTTTTTCCCTTTTCAATTCAGTCCTTATTATTCTCAAATTTTCACATCAACTTTTGAATTTTAAATTTCTTCATTTAAACTTTTTTTACAAATTCTTAAATTTTAATTTTATTTAATTTACTTCTTACAATATTTATTTCCATACATTTCTTTTTTTTTTCAAATGAAATAAAATAAAGCACAAAATATATCCTTTCTTTTTTATTAAATAATATTAAATAAAGAAAGAAAAGCAATCGTTCTCTATCTTACCTTTCCTTTCTTTTCTTTTCTTTTCTCTGTATCACATCTCTTTTTTTTTCTTTTCTACCCCTAAATGCCTGACAACGCCTTTGGTATGTATTGACCGATGACTTGGCAATGTTGACTTTGTCTCACGTGAGAATTTCCTTTTTTTATTCCTTTTTTTTTTTTGCAACTTGTCTTCGAGCAGAGAAGTAACACAATAATTTTGTGTTCAACTTAGCTTACCAATTTTGTGAAAATTACATTTTTTTGGAAGTTTGAACAAACTAAGATTTCAACTCTCTACTTAATGAGGTGAAACTGAAGCGTAGGAGTGGTTTGCCGGCGAGTACTACTGTATTTATTTCCCCATTCAGTCAGTAATATTCATCCTCATATATACACTCGTATTCAGTTGACTCCAAATTTTAATCCCATTATCGTGTCTTTTAAATGGTATTGTACTTGTCATGTATACCTATTTAAACATAATTTATACTTTAAAATATAATATATCATATAATTATTTATATTAGTTTTTAATGTATAATTTTTTAAAATTTTTTAATATATGAATTATTAAATATGGGGCATGATGAATACTTTAATTTCTGTTCTCATCTCTGTACCCAAAAAATCATCGTAAAAATCTCTAAATTATGCTTATACTTATTGTATAATATCTATATCCATCTCTAGTTGAATAAGATTTGTGAGTAGCCATCGTATATGGATAAAATTTCAATTCCCACTGAAGACTTAATATAAATAATAAATATTTGTAGGTTTTATTTAGAAATAAAAAATTCAACTCCTGACTCAACCTGATTTAAAAATCTCTAATTTGTTTTAGAAAAAGCTCAATGAGGTTGTTTCTAATCTAAATAATGTCCATAAAACTAATTATAGTTATAATTTTGGGTATTTTTCATAATATAACTAAAAACTAAAACTGAATTCGTTTAAAATTCTCAAAATTAACTATATAATATGTTTATTGTCACAGCAGCCTACTGGTAATATTGTCTATTTTGGGTGAAGGCCTGTATAGTTTTAAAACGTATCTACCAGATACTAAAGCATGCATATTTATAAGTTCAATATCTCTTCAGTATTTTGTTAATATAGGATTTACATAAGGTATTACGTATACCCCCCTTTAGAACTCAACGTACTCGCTAAGATTTGCTCCACTATTGTTCAAGATTGCACGCGAAGTGACTCTAATACCATTTTGTCATAACCTAACCCTTAGGAAATATTATCTGCTTTGGGTTAAGACCCGCACAATTTTAAAACGAGTCTACCAGGTACTAAGGTATGCATACTTATAAATCCAGCACCTCTTTCGTGTTATGTCAATGTAAAATTCGTCCAAGGTGTTACATTTATAGAACAATCAACAAGTTACTTTGGGAATGGAATGCTTAGCAGATTCCTAATAAATACTCTTAACTTTTATTCGTATTTCAATTTCTGTTAGTACTTATTATGTGATACATAATCTTTTAGAATTTAATAATTTAGTACCAAATCCATCTTTAAATTTTACAGCACTTAAATTTTTTTATTTCAGTCAAGTTGATATCGTTCAAAAGAAAATAAAAGGAAAAATGAGGTCTATAAATGAATTAAAAAAATTATGAGTTTTAAAGTTTATATTTTTATTGATAATTAGCAATTTAAGAAATTAAATGCTAATATAGACATCTAGCATACCATCAAACAGAATTCAACACGACTTACTGAAAAATAAATAAATATAATTTTACAATACAATTCTGAAGTACGTAGAACTTTCTCTTCCTTCACCTCATCCTCCAACGTTCTCAGATCTTTTATATAGGATCACAAGAAGTGCAATAATGAAGGCATGGTCGACATTTTGTTGAACCGTCACCATCTTCTTGCCCATCTTCAGAAAAGAGACTTTCTCGTGCATCTGTAGTTTGGAAATAAAATTGAAGTTTCAGTGGGCTTTTCCACCATTAAAATGATTTTAAGGCTTAAGCAAAAGGTTGAAAAACAAAATCCGAAGGACCTACGGAAAGAAAAACAAAATAACAAAATACAAGAATTGGAAGAATTATGCTTTGATCCCTTTCACCTAATGCAAATTTTGGTTTGGCACCTAATTTTATAGAAACCACAATTTCTTTCTCTTCTAAATTAATTAAGCAAATTCATTTTCTTCTTGAATATTGGCTCATCTTATTTATTGGGTTTACTAACTTGTATATAGGTTCCATGATATCATTCCTTCATGTGTAAAATTTATATTTTTGTACATTGAAATTAAGCTTGCATCTAAAAAGCTCAAGATCAAATTTTAAACACTTATGAAATAGTGAGACCAAACATGTCATAAATAGAAGTATGGTAATCCAAATAGAATTTGAATAAAAATACAGGAATAAAAATGTAATTTAGCCCCAAAAAATTGAGACTTGTTACTAACCAAACGGGGCATATGGGTATCTATGTAACGAAATGGTACTGTATGGCTTACGTGGGCAACAATATTTAAAGAGTCTCCGTATAAACTTGACAAGACCTTTCACTCCAGTTTGCTTTGAGCTTAAAATCACAGACCTCCGTGGAGGTGTTATTTGCCAGAAAGACGTCCAGCTTGGTCTTCGACTGCATAACCGAGGAGTTCTTGACAATAAATAGCAGGTCTTTAGAGTCCGTACTCTCTCCCCTAAACACTTCCCATCTACCATGCCATGATAAAGCCTACAAGAAATTAACTTTTTTCAAGTTATTAAGAAGTTTTTCAGAAACAAAATTTGAACACAGCTTGTGAAACATGTCTCCAATCTCAAACCTTCACCCACCTGGTGAAGATGGGATTTCCAGCATTATTCAGTAAAACCCTTTTATCGGGGGTAGAGAACAATAAAAAAATTAATTTCATGAAACAACATATTTTTCAGAAAAAATTTCTATAAATAATTGTTTCAAAGTTTTCGATCTCAAACCTTCTCTTTGAGGGTGACAACGGGATTTCCAGCGTTGTCAAGCAAAACCACATTGGGTTTAAGGAGGAGGGGGCCTTTCACTTTAAACAAGAGGTTGCCGTTAGCATCTGTGACGAGATCGTCGGACCAGCCCTTCCTTACAATTGTAAGATTAACCACATTGGGAGTGCAGAACTGGGGCTGATGATTGGTATGGGATGAAGGAAGGGACTGTTGTTGTCTTCTGCCATTTATTTAAGTTGTCAGATACATAAACGCATTCAAGAGTTCGAAAAAATTTCCGTGGTATATATACAAGAGATGAGAATCGAGTTTGGGTTCTACAAGTTTATTCAGTTTGGACTTCTCCACGCGGAGACGGAAGTTCCAGGAAATTACTGTACGCCGCAAGGATGGAAAAGGCCACGGGTCAACTTTGAAAAAGAAAAGAAAAGACAAAATTACAATGGTTTTGAAAAGAAAACAACATTCAAGCGGGATTGCGGCCGCATGTGCAGCCGCAATAGTGGAGGATGAAACGCGGTTTGAAATCGCGTACTACTCGTCCAAGTCTCCTCAAAACTATTCCAATTTGTTTTCATAGAAATTAATTTTTATTTTTTATAATATGAGATTTGAAGAGTATTATTTTTTTTATTTAAAAAAATTATTATTCATCTCTTTAATGAAAAAATATAGTAATTTATATTTTTTTATAATAAAATTTTTTTTATCTTTTCTTGTAATTTTTATCTTAAATTTATTTATAATTTTTTATATAAATTGATGTGTCTCTATTTTATTATTTTATCTCATTTTATTAATCATGATTTTACTTTAACGGGCTTGTCTATTTTCTAACAATTACTTATAATAAAATTTAAGTAGAAAAGGAAATAGGGCCAAAATCATTAATTAACTCCGAAACAAGCAACAAGAAATAACAAGAAGCCGAATTACCAGCGGCAGTAAGTGCAAAGATTAATTAGCTTTCTTTTTGTAATATCAACAGGGTTTTCTTGCGAGATTTTTACTAAATTAAAAATTTAAAATAAAGGTTTTTAAACTAGGAATTGCTGTTGATTTGATCCCTCTCGTTCGTTCCAGACAAAGATAAGAAGAGGCTTTCGGTTAGTTGGTTTTCCGAAGGTTCATACCTCTGTTATTCGAACCTTAAATTTTGATTTTCTAAAGTTAATTCAAAGTTGGAAATTGAAATGGTCTATGTCGAAAACTTCTTCAAGATTCAAACTTAGACTTGAACAATCAATTTGAATTTTAAAACATAATTTAATACAGACAAACAATGATTTAAATGAAATTTGCTAGGTGAGCTGGCTTAGAAAATTTTTTTTATTAATAAGCACCCGTTTACTTCTTCAAGATTCAAACTTAGGCTTGAACAATCAATTTGAATTGTAAAACATAATTTAATACAGACAAACAATGATTTAAATGAAATTTTCTAGGTGAGCTGGCTAAGAAAACTTTTTTTTTTAATAAACACCTGTTTATTTATCCTATGCCGTTATAAGAATATCTATAAAATAAAGTATTCTCATTTCAAATACATGTTTACATGTGTAAGTCTCTCAATTCTGTTAATATCTTGTCTTGACAGATCACATGATTTAGAATAATTTAGAATCAAAGTTATATAAATATATTTTATGATTACTAACTCTGTGCATGACCTAATCTTTAGGATTTCAAATAAATGTAATATATATATACACACACACATAAGATAACTACAATATAAAATATTAATTATATTTAATAATAATATTGTATGACATAAGTGTAATTTTACATCTCATTTTAATTGGTTAGTGAGACACTATTTTAATAATGTTATTTATATCTTAGCAAAACAAAATCTGTTGTGTTTATAACCAATCTAAATAAGATTAGAAATATATCAAGAGCTTTCTAGTTAAGAAAATGCAAGCGTGAACCAAATTCAGGACACACTCTCCAATGCTCGCATGGGAAAATTGTTCACCCATGCGAGTTCAAGTGTCTTGCCTTTCAAGAAATTGTAATGACCTTGGATTTTATTTTTATTTTGAAAAATTTTTATTCAAAAGACTTGGGGGCATTTTTGTAATAACCAGATATATATAAAAAAAAAAAGGAAAAAGTTCTGGCCGAGAATCGGCCAGAACGCCCCCGAAGAGGATTGCTCCAATAGAAGCAATCCAACACTAAAGTTAATTTGGAAACTCCATACATAAAGTAAAAACAAAGCTGGGCATGCATTTAATTGTGAAATCTGTGAGAAAATCCGGAGAAGAAGCGAGAAATTTGAGCTAAAAGCCGTGGCACCAAAGGAGAGAAATTTGGAAAATTTGAGTGATTTAGTTGAAACCAAACCGATTGAAGGGGCTGCTGTGAAGCTCGGAAATTGCAAGACTCGGTCTCGAAAGCTGCAAATCGGTTTGGGTAAGTGAAATTTCTGGATTCATGGAGTTTTCTGGTTTATGGGTTGACAGGGTGTTCGGGTCTCTCGACCGGGTGAGGAAGACGGGACCCGGATGGGTCCGGGTCCCGTATAAGGCCGGGCCGAGCTGTTGGGCCCGGGCTCGGCCCAAATAAATTGCAGGCCCGCGGGCTGAGCTGCGGGCCAGCCCGGGTGAGGGCCAGGCCGAGTCGACCCCTGGGTTGACTCGGCCCAGTGAATAGGGTTACGGGTCAACTCGGCCGAGTTGACCCAGGGTAGAATTGGGGATAGCTTATCCCAGAAGGATAAGAAATCAGGGATAAGACCAGATTGAGGATAACAGAGGATAGCATAGCCCAGATTTCTGGGATTAGGGTTTGGAGAGTTGACTGAACCGGCCAGAACCGGTTTAATGTTTGATCGGCCAGTTCAGTGGTCAAACGGACTCGGATTTGGGAAGTTGGACCGGTTCTAGATTCAGGAAAAAATACCTATCAAACCAAGTGGGTTTGGGAATTTAGGGTATTCGGTTCAAGGTGAACCGGCCTCGGTTGCGTGCCGATGTTCTAGATTAGTGTTTTTGGCCCAGTTCGGCTAACTTTAGAGGTTTTTGGCCAAGTTAATATGGCTCCTAAGGTTTTTGGGTGTTCTGAATGCGATTTTGAGGGTCTCGTGGCCAATTGAGATGAGTTAGAGGTAGTTTTGAACTGGGCTAGGCCGATTTTGAGGTTTCGGGAGATCGATTCGATATGGTTCGAGGATCGTGAAGGCAAGTTTAGTCAATTTGAGGATAAATAAGTAGAGTAATGACGGTTAGTGGTTTAAAAGGGTTTGAAGTGAGTCAGTGCTATCTCGATATGCATGCCGAGAGTTCGGACCTGGGGGGGAGCCCCGGGTCACTTCTAATGAGTGAGTTTTAGGGAGAAACCTCAGTTTCGGTTCTGACTCGTGGTTTGATGATTGTAGATACTCCAGGAGAGGTTTGCTTTGATCCTTGATCGTCTGCTTGAGATCCGATATTTGGTTTTGACATGTCCGGTGAGTGACAATACTCTCTGTATATGTGTTTGCATTATGATTTTTTTGTTAATCTCTGTATTTGAATTCTAAACACTGTTATTGTATTCGGTATTTGTATCTATCTGTTTTAGAGTCTAATACGCCTGGAATTATTTCTATAACTACACGTGTATATCTACCTCAGTGATATATGTCTTTTGTTTTGTATATCTGCCAGGAATATGTGTGTGATTCTGAATATGTGTATGCGATTTCAGTTTTTCGGTTTCGACTCTGGCTCTGTTCAGGGGTGCTAGGGACTCGGCCATCGGACGGTCGGCCACCGTACTGTGCAGGGAGCCTGAGTCCGGATGGTGGGCCCCCGTGGCATTTGGGGAGTGCCTTGGGCCCAATATGGTGATTCTGATTTTGACTTAGGCTCTAATTCTGGCTCTGACTCTAGCACGGGATCCTAGTGCGACATCTGTGTTCAGTGACTCTGATTCTGATTCTGGGACGCCAGGGGCTCTGCCGTCGGGCAGTTGGCCACTATCGCACGGGAAGCACCCTGGGTCCATCTGTGACCTCTGATTCTGATTCTGGGATACTAAGAACTCAGCCGCAGACGGTGGGCCCTGTACTGTGCGGGGAGTGCCCTGGGTCCGAACGTGGGCCACCGTAGCGTACGGGGAGTGTCCTGTATCCACATGTGGCTCTGAATCTGTAATGTGTTATGGTGTTATGTGTTATGTTCTGATAGTCTGATTTGATTCTAATTTTCTAGTTATGATTGTGCATATGAAACTAATGTATTAAGTTAAGAAACGTGATTTTGAAACCGTATTGTTACTTGTGTGATATTTGTATTTTAAATGACCTGAGTTTCTGTTATGGTATGCTTAGTTAGTACTATCATTCACTGAGTTATATACTCATCCCTTTTTCCTTCCCACCTTTCAGATTCCAGTTTTGACTAGCAGTGGTAGTTCCTGCAACGCTTCCGTCACCGCTGCATCGACCTGATTGTATGGGCACTTCCTGTATATTTATCTTTTTGTATTCTAGACACTCCGTGTACAGTCAAATATGTTTTGTGGTGTATATGTATATAGAGTTTTTTGATGAGATAGGTTATCTGTTCTGTTTAATCAGAGGCTTACTGGGGTTGGTACGCCAATCCCAGTGCCGGTCACGCGCCGGGTTGGGGCGTGACAATTTTGGATTAAATTAAAACAAGTGGGGATGTTTGTGTAAAAAAGGAGGAGTTGGGGACCAGTATGGGATTCAGGGGGGGTTTATTTAAAAGAAAGGAAAGTTTAGTGGGTTGGAGTGTGACAGGAAGGGAAGACCTTTGGCCGGGGAAATTGCTCCAATAGGAGGGCAGCAACTCATCCCAAGCCTTGGATAAGTGTGCGAGAGAGAGAGAGAGAGAGAGAAAGAGAGAGACGAGCTTAATGGTAGGTTTAATTGGAGTTTGAGTGAGAAAAAGGGGAGGAACAAAGCTGAGGAAGCCGATGGTGCCGACGAGTGTGTTTTTAGAAAAATTGGGACACTGAGTTTGAATTACTTCGATTAAAGGCCTCCATGGGTTTCCCAAGGGCTGATTTCGTGGCTTGGGTTTGCAAATAGTCCGAGGTAAGCTGTTTTCCTGGATTTTTGCCGCGGGTGAAAGTTACAGACAACCGGTTAAAACCTGGGTTGTCGAACGAGGAAGACAGGACTCGGAAGGGTCCGGGTCCTGTCTCGGCTGGGCTGGGCTGGGCTAATTTGGCCCAGCCCGGCCTGGTTGGGGGGGTGTGGT